ATGGTTAGGCACCGGATACCGAGGCTGCCTTGGTGGCGAGTTAACAGGACCGTAGCGGGCCGCCCCCCCCCGTGGGATACCGAGGTCCCTGGCGGGTACCGGGGTGAGCTGGTGGACGGGAGCGGCCTCGGAAGGCAGATGCGGAGCCTCTCGGCCTACCGGGGGGAGGCATGTCTCTGCGAAGAGCTGAGAACTGTTGCCTGGTCTGACTAGCTTGGACCCGTCTGTTCAAGCACCTGTATGGCAGCTGAACCGAACAGTTCCCCGGGCTCCACTGGGACAGCAAGGAGAGTCCTCCTACATGCCTCTGATAAAGGTGACTGTGCCAGCCAAACCTGGTGACGAGTCTGGACGAGAGTGGACATCAGGCGCCCAAGCTCTCTTGACATCAGAGCAAACGCCTGTAATGAGGCGTCACTGAGGCTGATAGCAGAAGCGCTAAGAGCCTCCTGCTGCAGGGAAGCTGAGAGGGCGAGCATGAGGTGAGAGAGGGAATTGCCAATACGGCCCATGCGTGCCGCTGTATCGTAAGCCTTAGTGAGCAGGTCATCAGTGACCCGACATTGGGGTCGAGGGCACCTGGCCTCCGACCTCAGAGCTTCATCAGGGGAAACTATGAGGGAAGCAATGGTAGGCTCCACAGCCGGCATGTGATCAAGGCCGACCTTTGCCGCATCTTGCATGGCTGCTAGGGCTCGGCCATCGGACGTAAGACGGGAAAAAGTCTTAGTGTCCCTCCAGCATGCATGTAACTCCCTCAGATACTCACAAGAGGGAGGAACTGCAAAGGTGGCGGGTGCCAAAGTGCGCCTGAAGAATGCACTGCTAGGCACTGTTTTGGGCTGCTGTACATCCAACTGCTGGCGAGCCAGTGCCATGCGGATGACGGTACTCATGGAGCCGACATCCGCCCCCCCCCGAGGATACATGATCTGAGGTACAGGAGCCAGGCCCAGAAGCCTGGGACGGGCCCTCTCCTTCATACTCATTAAATTGAGTGGCTGAAGCTGCCAATGAGAACACATCGTCCTCTGGAATCAGTTCAGGCATGGGCGGGCTGGGTGGACTGGGTGCAGCGGCGTGCTCTGTACGGACACCAGAATGGAGAGCCAAGAGGATTGACTTCATCTGGGCAACCTCAGTAGTGAGTAGGTCCACCCTAGAGGACAGCCTATCAGGCTTAGTCCTTTTCTTGGGCGGGGCACCCGCAGCCTCTGCTGCCCGACGCCTAGGACGGGTAGGTTGGGATGTAGTCGACTGTGCAGGGGGAAGGCCACCCTCAGTCAGTAGTTCAACCCTGGCTAGTCTAGCAGCTCTTACCGCACGAGGCATGATGGTACAATTCATGCACGAGTCCTCCGAAAGGCCCTCCCTCAGATGCTCGAGGCCAAGACAAGAGGGGCAAAGGTCATGGCCATCCTCTGGTTGCAGAGAAGCCATACAGGTGTTACAGCCGTTAAACATAGCGCCACTCTTAGGGGAAGCACTCAGCTGACTGTAAATAACTGGCCAGGAAACAAACTCCACAATGGAGGGGAGTGAGCACAAAGTAGTTAGCGTGAGCGTACGCACTATGCTAACTGGGGTGCGAACAAGTGTGTGGTCAGTTAGTGGTATGTATGCTGTGAGAGGAGAGCGGGAATACTCTCTCCACTAGCGCCGTAGCAAGTTAGTCTGAGCGAAAGCACTCTGCTAACTGGAGATGGAATGGTTCTTAAGACAACTGTGTGCAGGGAGAGGGGAGCGGAAACACTCTCTTCACTAGCGCTGTAGCGAGTTAGCTTTGAGCGAGAGCACTCAGCTAACTGGAGGATACAACAGAACCCAACTGTGTGCAGGGAGAGGGGAGCGGAAACACTCTCTTCACTAGCGCTGTAGCGAGTTAGCTTTGAGCGAGAGCACTCAGCTAACTGGAGGATGGAACAGAAACCAACTGTGTGCAAGGAGAGGGGAGCGGAAACACTCTCTTCACCAACGCTGTAGTAAGTTAGCTATGAGCCAGAGCACTCGGCTAACTGGAGGATGGCACAGGAACCAATTGTGCGCCGTGGAAGGGCGAAGACACTCTTTCACTAGCGCCGTAACAGTTAGCTTGAACAGGAGCACTCAAACTAGCTGGACGATATACAGGTAAGAAATTAAATGTCTGTAGTGAGAGGAGGGCGGAGACGCCCTCTTCACTTAGTGTAGTAACAGTTAGCTTGAACGAGCTAGCACTCAGCTAAATGGACGATAGAATCAGATAAGAAACCAATGTATGTAGTGAGAGGAGGTGCGTAGACGCTCATTTCACTAGTGCAGTAACAGTCTAGCTTGAACGAAAGCGCTCAGCTAACTGGACGATAGAATCAGGTATGATAGAATCAAATGTTTGTAGTGAGAAGAGGGCGGAAACGCTCTCTTCCCTAGTGCAGTAACAGTTAGCTTGAACGGGCTAGCACTCAGCTAACTGGACGATAGAATCGGTTAAGTAACCAAATGTTTGTAGTGAGATGAGGGCGGTAGACGCTCTCTTCACCAGTGCAGTAACAGTTAGCTTGAACGGCTAGCACTCAGCTAACTGGACGATAGAATCAGGTAAGTAACCAAATGTTTGTAGTGAAAAGAGGTGCGGAGACACTCTTTTCACTAGTGCAGTAACAGTTTAGCTTGAACGAAAGCGCTCAGCTAACTGGGCAGTGACAATTAGCGAGAGCCCTCGGCTAATTGTATACAATTATCTCATTAGTTTGAGAATATATAGCACAAACAGCAAAAACGGTAGCGCCGGCTGACGTGCAGGAGCGTCCGCTCTTTACCGATCCGGAGCTCCTAAGATCCGAGCGGTGAACACCGCGGTCCCCTCCCTTGGGAGGACGGACAGCTAGCTCGTCGCAGCCTTTGGAGCGTGAGCGCTTTCTAGCCCGCAGCTCCGATCTAACGATCACAAGGCTACAGATAGCGATGAGCTAGGATCTTAATTGTTCAGTAAGCTAGCTTGGCTTCTACTCATAGGGTTGCCAACCGTCCCGTATTAGCCGGGACGTCCCATATTTGAGCCAAAAGGGGCGTGTCCCGTACGGGACATTGTTTGTCCCGGATTCCCGGTAAAGGGAAAAATAAAAAATATGTTTCTGTTTGCGCGCAATGCAGTATGTCTGGCTGCGTGCCTGTGTATTTGTGTGCTGTATCCGAAGGGCGCTAGGACCGCTCAGTTGACAGGGCAGGCACAATGCTCGCACGTGTGTGTGTGTGTGTGTGTGTGTGTGTGTGTGTGTGTGTGTGTGTGTGTGTGTGTGTGTGTGTGTGTGTGTGTGTGTGTGTGTGTGTGTGTGTGTGTGTGTGTGTGTGTGTGTGTGTGTGTGTGTGTGTGTGTGTGTGTGTGTGTGTGTGTGTGTGTGTGTGTGTGTGTGTGTGTGTGTGTGTGTGTGTGTGTGTGTGTGTGTGTGTGTGTGTGTGTGTGAGATTTTCGCGGGCGCGGCATCATTGTTTGTGTGTGGCATGTCAGCCTGTTCAGTTGTGCGGGGAAATGAGCGCTGCCGGTGGAGGTGATAATGAAAGAGGAGAAGAGAGAGATGTGGTTCTGGGCCCTGGCCCTTCTAAAAAGAAAAGACTTGTGTCTTACAACACACAGTGGGAAGAAAAACACAGTTGGGTAAAGCCCGTGAGTGGAGATCTGTCTCGGGTCTTCTGCACCTTGTGTCGGAGGGAGTTTTCAATAGGTCACGGTGGAGAAAACGACCTGAAACAGCATGCTGGCACAGAACTGCACAAGCGAGCAACAATGGTTGGTTGAAGGATAACCTTAAGTCTAATAATGATGTATACCGTGCATGTTCACATGTATACTTTGCATTACTTAATACCATTTTTCAAATATTTTATTTTTTAACATTTTGGACAAAATAGCCAATTGTACATCGAGGTGCCCAGATGTCCCTAGTGCTCACCTATCCGGTTTGAACATGCTGATGTACAATGTGATGTAGTAGCCTAATGCAGGTGTAAGACCATTGTGTTTGTATTGTGTTATAGGTATGCATAGTTTTCATTTTGAGGGTTTTTGGGGGTTTGACCCCCAAAAACATTTTCGAACCCTAGGGGCTGGCTCCCCCAAAATAATTAAATAACATAACCCTAACCTAACCCTAAAACCGAAATAAAGTAACAAAAAAAAGTAACTAAATCTGCCAGAAACCCGAAAATCTTCGCGCGCGTGCACACGTGCACGCAGGGGACACATGCATGTGTCCCGTTTTTCCATTTCTGGAAGTTGGCAACCCTATCTACTCATAAAGTAGTAACCTACGCTGCGAGAAGATGAAAAGGACTGAACTCGTCGACGGCACCGGAATTTATGCCTTCCGGGTCGTACGAGGTCACACGTGACTTTGTTGATATAAATATTCGACCTACGCATGCGCGAGACAGAAGATATCCAGTGCTAAAGCACCGCCTCTGGCGGTCAGTAGGTATGAAATAGAATCAGATATTCATCAACACCATATTCTGAATGGAATGATGTCTGTTTCAAAACCATATATCTTGCTATAAAACAACAGGGTAACTGCCAGACAAATCCGTCACATTAACATCCAATCCTTGAGTAATCGACTATTCTGGGTTGATCCGGAACTGGAAATAATTGCTATCTCTGTTATATTTATTTATTCTTGTTTACTTTTCTTTTCCTCTTTATGTATTCAAGTTAGAAAGATGATGTTTTCCATTCAGCAACATTCTACAGAGTTTAGGTTGCACTCCAATTTCAAATTAACAAACAAATGAAGTACCCTGGACAAAGACATTAACAGAAAATACAGCAAAAAAATAATGTCATCATCACATTGCCTGTAAATCTGGTTTGATATGTATGCCCTGCCCTTACACTACTGCCTGTGCCCCGATGGGCGGTGTCAAACTATGACGAAAACCAGCATGACCAAAGACATGATTTAGCCCTACTTATAAAATTAGGTAACATTGCATGAAGCCAAATGGGTGTAGGAAGGAGGGCCATTATGGGGGCATTTCTAGACACATTTCTGTTCTTGATTTGGTTCTTGTCTGAGTCTTCCTCTCTTTTCTCCTCCTGTAAATTAAGGAAACAGTTTAATTTTAATGAGATGCACAAGGCTGGTGATGTGATCCTCGGTGGTCTGTTTGAGGTTCACTACACCTCTGTCTTCCATGAGCCGACGTTCACGTCAGAGCCAAATCAGCTCAGCTGCCAAGGGTAAGTTTCAAACACATGAAGTAGACACCATTTACCGATAATTATATATATATATATATTTTCAAGTGGTTAATCTAGAAATGTTTTTGTTAGTTTTGACCCTCCAGGGTTTAGACATGCCATGACCATGGCCTATGCTATTGATGAGATCAACAAAAACCCCAACCTGCTACAGAATGTGTCTCTGGGATACAGTCTGTACGACAACTGTGCCACACTTGTAATTGGATTCAGTGCTGCATTGTCACTAGCCAGCGGTCGAGAGGAGCAGTTTCTGCTTCAAGAGACCTGTTTAGGGACCACCCCAGTCCTTGGGATTGTGGGAGATTCCTTTTCAACATTTTCTATCGCCACATCTGATGTGATAGGTTTATTCAAATTGCCCATGGTAAGTTTCCTGTCTTCAGTTTTAGCTGTTCTTTTGATGCACCAAATGTGTATATACTTAAAAGTGAAAGGATGGTAAATGTTACATTAAATCTCAGGCTTTATTTGGTAGAAGTTATCTTTTTAATGCATATTTTAAAACAGTTCATTTGTAATAGCTGAAATTATTTATTTATTTACCCTGATTTGAAGTAATTTTTTAAAAGTCACATTTTTGTGAATACTGTATTTATAGGTCAGTTACTTTGCCACATGTTCCTGCCTGAGTGATAGGCGGAGGTTTCCATCCTTCTTCAGAACAATCCCAAGTGATGCTTTCCAGGTGAAACAAACTATGTTCTAGAAATGCAATACATATGTTTTACAAAGAGTTTACTGAGCTGTAATTGTGTGTAAATGTACTGTGTTGGCGTTGTGTATTCTTAATGAAACTACGTTGATATATAAAATAAGTGTAGTGGTAAAAATCTTCTTCTTTTATTGTGAGATATGAACAGGTATCCCTGTGCTCTATATTTATTTAGGTGCGTGCTATGATTCAGATTATGAAACACTTTGGCTGGACTTGGGCCGGTCTGCTGGTCAGTGATGATGATTATGGCCGCCATGTTGCCCGATCCTTCCAATCGGACTTAACTGAGTCTATTGGAGGTTGTCTGGCCTACTCTGAGATTTTGCCCTGGGGTGACAACCCAGCTGAACTTAAGAGGATTGTCCTTTTAATGAAGAAATCAACCGCTCGTGTGGTCATTGTGTTTGCACATCAGATCCACATGATTCAACTAATGGAAGAAGTATTTACAGTATCAATCTATATCTCTATCTATTTTTCATCTACCCATCTAAAATATCTGCTTTAAATGTAATTCATAGTAGTTTAAGTATTCATTCCTATTAAATAAGCTATGTTATTTATACATCAGTCTTAAACATTTGATTAAATAAGATATACTGTATATATATTACAGGTGGTGAGGCAGAATATGACAGGCCTGCAGTGGATGGCCAGTGAAGCCTGGACTACAGCAGCTGTGCTCCAGACCACCCGCCTCATGCCGTACCTGGGTGGCACCCTGGGCATTGCCATCCGTCGAGGAGAAATATCAGGGCTCAGGGATTTTCTATTAAAAACAAATCCAGACAAGTCAAACAATCATAGGAATAGAATGGTAAGAGTGTTACCTTACAATCATTTCTGCAAATTCAATACTTATAATTGCTTTTTCTGTTAATATTTTCTTTTTATTACATTTCAGGTAAGTCAGTTTTGGGAATACACATTTCGGTGTAAATTTGCACCACCTCCAGCAGGTTGGGTGGAAGCGTCTGGGGGAGCTCTATGCACTGGGCAGGAAGATCTAGCAAGTGTGGAGACTGAGTTTTTGGATGTTTCAAACCTCAGGCCAGAATACAATATTTACAAGGCTGTGTATGCCCTGGCATATGCTCTTGATGATATGCTGCGCTGTGTGCCAGGGAGAGGGCCTTTCAGTGGGCACAGCTGTGCTGCTTTGCAAACACTGGAGCCATGGCAGGTGTGATATCAGTTTGCACTACACCTGTTTAGTTTTTTAAATCTCCTGCTTCATCTAGAGTTACTTAATGAAATATATTTGCGGGAAAGAAGACATACTCTCCAGATTGTCTTTGAGTAAAAGACAACATATTTAATCATAGAAGTTACTAGACAAAAAAAAGCTCTATTTCTTATGACAAACGTAATTATTTAATCGCAAAAGTGGTTGACGTTTTTGACTATAATATTTGTAGACCAGCATGACTAAATCCACAATATATCATAATGTACAGAACATCACAATACTTATGCAAAATCAACAACATTAAATATTTGTTCTCACCTTCTCAAATTATATGTCTGTGTTGTATCCCTGTGTAGCTTATACATTACTTGGAAAAGGTCAACTTTACAACAACATTTGGGGATCAAGTATCATTTGATGAGAATGGTGATGCCTTACCAATATATGACATCATGAACTGGCAGTGGCTCCCTGATGGAAAAATAAATGTTCAGAATGTGGGTGTTGTTAAGAAGTCTGCCTCCAAAGGTGAAGAACTCACACTTGATGAAGAAAACATCTTCTGGAGCTTTGTCTTCAAACAGGTTAATCCTGTTTATTGTTTTTTCTTTTTATCTTGGTACTTTATGACACACAATAACACAATCAAAAAGTGTTGAATAACTGTTCTATAACTTTTACAATCCTGACAGCCACCCCAGTCCGTGTGCAGTGAGAGCTGTTCTCCAGGTAGCCGCATGACCAGAAAAAAGGGACAGCCTGTTTGCTGTTATGACTGTGTCGCTTGTTCTGAGGGAAAGTACAGCAATGAAACTGGTTGGTATCATTATAAAACGACATCCTAAACCAGCAATTATACATTTGTCTCTTTCTTGATGCCCAGGTGTAAATAAAAGCACATGTCCACCACTGCATGGCGAGCAATAAAGTTTTGGGCATTAGTGGCCCATTCAACTTAACTGTCAGTGTTCTCTTTTCCCTTATTCTAACAGACTCCATGGAGTGCAGCAGTTGTCCAGAGGACTTCTGGTCCAGCCCCCAGCGTGACCACTGTGTTCCTAAAGAAACGGAGTTCCTCTCTTATCAAGAGCCTCTTGGTATCTGCTTGACAACCGCCTCTTTACTCGGCACGTGTATCTGTGCTGTTGTCGTAGGAATCTTTATCCATCACCGTAGCACACCTATGGTACGTGCCAACAATTCAGAACTAAGTTTCCTGCTCTTAGCATCACTTAAGCTATGTTTCCTGTGTTCACTGCTGTTTATCGGCCATCCCAGAATGTGGACATGTCAATTGAGACATGCAGCATTTGGGATAAGCTTTGTACTTTGTATCTCTTGTATTCTTGTTAAAACCATGGTGGTTCTGGCTGTGTTCAAGGCCTCCAAGCCAGGAGGTGGAGCCAGTCTGAAGTGGTTTGGTGCTGGACAGCAGAGAGGGACAGTTTTGCTTCTTACATCCATTCAGGCAGTGATTTGTACTGCTTGGCTTGTCTCTGCCTCACCAGTGCCTCAAAAAAACACTCAATACTACAATGACAAAATAGTGTATGAGTGTGTAGTCGGGTCCACAGTTGGATTTGCAGTGTTAATGGGTTATATTGGCTTACTTGCTATACTTAGTTTCCTGTTAGCATTTATGGCAAGGAATCTTCCAGATAGCTTCAATGAGGCCAAACTCATCACTTTTAGCATGCTGATCTTCTGTGCTGTGTGGGTGGCCTTTGTTCCTGCTTACATAAACTCCCCAGGCAAATATGCAGATGCCGTAGAAGTATTTGCCATCCTGGCCTCCAGTTTTGGCCTCTTGATGGCACTGTTTGGTCCCAAATGTTACATTATACTGCTGAGACCAGAGAGGAACACAAAGAAAGCTATCATGGGTCGTGGAATAACCAAGATGGAAATGTAGCACACACAATAAATATATAAAATGGTCTGAGGCCTCGCTAACATATAAACAGGTTTAACGTTTTCTTTCCTTTGTCGAAAAACAAATCTTGTTCACAAAGCACACTAAGTGACAACACAATGAAGCGGTAATTAGGGTTTGACAACACAACGGGTCAATAACCAATGGCGTTGGCAGCCACATTTGTGTACTGGCCATGTGACATCAGAGTACAATGTATCAGTGACCCCACTGTTTCTCAATTTATTGGAATAGACATTGTGCATTTATGTGTTGACATGTTAACAAAATAACAAGGTTAGAACCAGCTCTATTATGGCTTTATCAGCTATTAGATTAAATGTTGCCTCATTTGTGATACCTAAAAGGAGGCAATAAATGAAATTACAAGCCAAAACTCTGTTCTCCTTGTCCACACATTTACATTGAAAATGAAGTTCCTGAACACCTTGGTAGTTTTACATAAGCTTAATGTTCAATGGACTTAAAAGCTGTTTGGGTGTGGACCAAATGCCATAGTAATTGGTATGTTATTGAAAATACCCATGTGGTGTTGCCTGAGGACTTAAATATGTAATCTATTTCTAGAATAAATAATGAAATGTCTGGGTAAAACTGATTATTCCTTTATTATTCCCTTCATTCCCTGTGTTTTAATACAATAACACAAGCACATATATGACAGTTTGATGTGAAGATGCTATTGTCTAAGCAAATAATCATAACTCAGCCTAGGTTGCTCTTACTGAATTGTACATCTTTAATCATATTTTGCATTTTTGCATTTGAGAAAACATAATAAATATCATGTGCATATACACAAATGTTTTTTTTTCTTATTATTACATTGATACCCTATATATTATTGCGTGTTCTAACTTCTCTATGTGGCTTTCATAAACAAACACGAATATCCTTGGTGTGTTCATTATTCCAATGAGAAAATGTAAGAAATCAAAATATGGACATAGACGTATTTACTGAAGCAAATAATGTATTTAATGATATGACATAGCATTTATTCTATAGTTTACCATTTTAAACTAACATAATTAATTAAAATGTGTACTTTGTCCTGCCCCCAGCCAGTTCCCTGATGGGTGGCACAACATACAATATCCCTGCCTATAAAATTAAGTAATCTTATATGAAGAATAGAATCAGATGTGAGCGGGGAGGCCATTAGACACATCATGTTCATTTGTATCTACCTTGTCTTTTTGTTCTCCTTTTTCTTTGTTGTCCCTCATCCTTAATCTTAATGAAATGCAAAAACCTTGTTATGTGGTTATAGTAGGGCTATTTTAGGTGCACTACACTTATCTGTCTTTTCTCTGCAGACATTATCCAGAGCCACAGCTCAGTTGAAAAGGGTACGTTTCACACACGTGCAGCAGCACATGTGTACAAATGATGCGTTATTTATACTGAGGAAGAAAATATTACTGTGCTGAATGTAAACACAAGAAATAACCTTTCATGAAATTCTAAAGATACTTTTTAATTGTGAAATACATCTTAAAAAGTGTTAGTATTGTTATATTGTGTATTTGAAAATATATAATTCTTAAAGTAAAACTTTGTTAAAATATGAAAATATTTTTGAACTTGTCTGATTAGTCAAATAAATATGTTCTTAACATATATATCCTGTATATAATGTAACTATTTACATTGCTTAACATGCAATGTATACTTTATATATTCACAATGATTGTTCATTATTTAAAGACTATAACAGCTGTGGTCGGGATGTTTGCACACAAGTTCCACATGATTCAACGGGTCAAAAGCAGTTTTACTTGTGGTCATGTGTCTGTTGTAGATATAATTGATGTGTGCTTCAAAACAACATGGAACAGAAGTTTGCAGAAATATATAAATAGTGTATGTTTTGGGAATACATGTTAAATGTAGATTTGTAACACTTTCAGGCCAAGGGAAAATATTTCAGAGCTATGAATACCCCGTGTATATGAAGACCGCCTTTCACCATGGTCACAGCTTTTACTGCTGTTACTTTGCACTCTGCAGATTTGTATACATTTTTACATTTATACTTTGTGTATTCTTTTGTTTTTGTATGCATTGTTTGAAATATTTTATAAAGACTGCATAATGTTCCACCACACCGTAAACTTTAAATTAATAACAGTTGTATTCTGTAACCGGATGTTCACGACATTGTCGACACACTCGACTTCCTGTCTAGGCAGACGGTGTTTGTAGCATTAGCATGTAGCAGCACCGTATAGATAGAATTATATATTATAGATAGAATAGTATAGGGCTCAGGGCTTTGGATAAAAGCGTCTAACAAGTAACATGTAATGTTAGTGCCCCAGGGCACTAAGTACCAATCGCGTTCACACCGGAGTACTTTTCCCTGAGGGAAGATTACGCAAATGAAGCCGCTGACGTCACTTCTTCTTCTTTTGCTTTCGGCTTACTGGCAGGCCGCAAACAACTTCACGGCGTATACTGCCACCCGAAGTCCCCGGAGTGGGGACTGGCTTCAGTAGAAGCTGTTGACAACTGTCACTACCCGATCCGTCCCCCTGCCCGATATGTACTGCGCATGTGCGAGATGGTCCGCCATATTGGAGAACTCCGGACGGCAACCCAAGAAGGACACTTGACACAGTGGCCGTTTCTCAATCGCGAGGATGCTGGCTTGGTAGTCGCGTACTTCCAAGTCACTTCCTTCAGAAACGAAGCAAGTATACTTCCAAGCCACGGCTACGGAAAACGAAGAAGAATGGAACAAGCTAACAAGTGTGCCACTCTCTCTAACGGTTTCAACATAAACTGTACCAAAAATAAATACCTCACGATGTCTATCTAATTATGAACTTGCTTTACTTTCACGGAACACATTTTTCGTGATAACAAACAAATGTAGCAAAGTAACATATTTACCAACACATGTTCTACGCCACTACATACTTACATTTAAATGTGTGCTGCGTTGGTTCAGCCATTCTCCGCAAGGGTTTTTGAAATTGGTCCGTGCACAAAGCATTGTGGGGATTTTAAGGACGCGAAGTCTACCCATGTGCAGCCTCGAAATTTCCCCCAAACCAAGGACGCGGCCTCGGTGGAATTCCAAGTATGCTGGAGATTGGAACTGTCCTTCGGCGGCACTCGATGACGTAGCATCCTTGAAATATTGGCTTGGAAGCCAAAATCCTCGCGATTGAGAAACGGCCAGTGACTTTTGGCAAAGCTGAAAAATAAAACTCGAGAGAGATGAGTTATTGTTATTACAACGTGACTTCTCTATTATTTAACAACTCTTTTTATTGGGTTCTTTTATTTGGGGTTGAGTACATTGTCAGAATAAGTGAGAAATTGATTTAACTTCTGTTAGACAGCTATCATACTGAATAAATATTTACTGTGAATGTATGCAAAAATGTATGGCATATGGCTGTCTAACAGAAGTTAAATCCATTTCTCACTTATTCTGACAATGTTAGTTCTCCAATATGGCGGACCATCTCGCACATGCGCAGTACAGAAGCTGCTGGGACTCCCAGCAGCCTCTACTGAAGCCTTCCAAGTAAATCACCAGAACGCCGACACCTCCTCATCACTCCACAGCTCCCATGTTTTTTTTTGTGTTGCCATAAGTTATTCTCTCTCCGTTGGTGCACGGGGCTAATTCTAATAATGCTAATGCCAGCAAATACAATGGCGGCTTCAAAAAACTTTTCAGAGTTTTACGGGGCGTGGTTTGCAATTCGCCCAGCCAATATAAATTGGTACTTTTTTGGTACTTTTTTGGTACCACCTCTCTAGCAGGCACTAAAAATGGGGGTAAAAGTTCCCGGCACTAAGTACTCTTTTTGGTGTGAACGCGACATAAGGGGTACTAACGGAACTAAACGGGAAAAGTACTCCGGTGTGAACGCGCCTATGGATGGAGCAAGCTCGCTTGGGCTATCCATTTGCAAATTCATTGTATCATTGTACCATTGTTTTTATTAAACGCTGTTAACTTGTAAATAAACTTCCTGTACTCTTTTCAGCTAATCCTAAACTCGGATCGTAGAAACTCCAACAGTACTGATACCAGAGAAATACCTACTTAAGTAAAGTAACAAAGTATTTTTACTCTACTACTTCCCACCTTTGGAATTACAACATATTTTGCACCCCTATTAGATGCTTTCTTGGGTTTGGGCCAGAACAAGTCAAATCATTAACCAGATGTGGGAGAGGTACTCAGATCTTGTACTTGGGTAAAAGTAGAAGTACCAGAATGTATGAATATTCTGTTACTGTACAAGTAAAAATCCTGTATTAAAAATGTTACTCAAGTAAAAGTACAAAAGTGTTAGCATCAAAATATACTTAAAGTACTCCAAGTAAAACTAAAGTCTTATTTAAGTATTGATTATATTTCACATTATTGATCCACATCTGTAGAGTAACTAAAGGTACAGAATAAATGTAGTGGAGTAAAAGTCAATGATTTACCTCTGGATTGTAGTGGAGTAAAAGTACAAAGTAGCAGTATCTCAAAATTGTACTTAACTACAGTACTTGAGTAAATGTACTTAGTTACTTCCCACCTGTGCCTATAACAATACAAATTGTACAGACAGTTTCAATAGGGATACCTGTCTTACACATGATTCTGCAAAAGGTAGTTTCACTAAAAAAAAATCACTAAATATCTTGGTGTGATGGTACCATCTAGTGGACATTCCTGAGGCTGATTTGAGTTTTTGATGAGTGTAATTTGGTGTGCGTATCACACACAAATGTGGGATTATACACAGTATGAAGTAGCTCTTCTGATACATACAATATACACACATTATTACTGATGTCAAGCTGCAGAGCTGTCTGGAAGAAATGTTGACTTTTACAGCAAAGCAAGTAGATGTTTTTTTGGAAGGTATCAATCCACATTATCACTTTAATGTATATATATATATATCAACGGCAAACAATTATGACATAATAATTCTAATAAAAAATTAATCTAAAAT